TGTTTAGGCATGCACGATGGTCGTGCCAGGGTTAGAAGGCGACGTGGTGAAAGGAGGAATCCACAGTTTTTTGTTGAAAGACATGTTCATCACACTGTTGGAGTTATGGTTTGGGGTGCTATAGCTTATGGTTCCAGGTCACCTTTAATCTTCATCAGAGGTAACATGAACGCGCAGCGTTATATCCACGAAGTTCTAGAAGCCCATCTTTTACCCTATCTTGACACCCTGGCAGATCCAACTTTCCAACAAGATAATGCCCGACCACATGTTGCAAGAGTCACAATAGATTTCTTTCAACATAATGATGTCACATTGTTACCATGGCCACCAAGATCTCCCGACTTATCCCCAATTGAGCACGTGTGGGATATGATGGGTAGGAGATTGCTCAATTTGCAACGTCCTCCTCAGACTCTAGAAGCACTTCGAGAGGAGTTGGTGGTTGCCTGGAATGAGATACCACAGGAGGACATTGACCACCTGATCAGAAGCATGCCTAAGCGCGTTGGAGAATGCGTAGCACATCAGGGTGCATCCAAACATTATTAAAGGTCAAAGGGCTTTAAAGCAGTGCAATCATTTTAAAATTTTTATCTTTTACTTATTATGCTTCATTAAGTACTTATACAAAATTTTATTAAAATAAAACCATTTAAACTGGGTGTTCGGATTTATATGTCGCTTAGTATATGTCCTACACCTCCGTTGGAAGTTACAAGCCAAAGGGATGAGTCAAATCGTTTCAAAAGGCGAAATCGAATCGTGATTGAGTAGGTTCATTTATGCACGATAAATCTTCGACCTCTGCATATGAAACTACATAAAGCAAAACTCTCTATATTTCTGTTTCCATTGCTGATTTAGGGAAAATATGTGTGCCTTATTAGTCTAACAGGTGCATAGTATCACTGAGATCAGCAGCTTCTTAATAACAGAAGGTCTTTCATATACACCAAATATGCAACAATTTGCAACGATCTACCGCAAACAGCTTCCAACCTACATGTTTCATTCTCTCCAAACAATGTCTGAAAATGAGCAGGATTTTCTGGAACGTTGTAACACTGTGTTATAGCGATTTTATTTCCGTCGTCTCTGAATCAATTTTCAAAATATACGATTGCCTAAACGATGGAGTATTAAACTCATGATAATATTTGAACTTCGGTTCACAAATTTTTTGTTGTTTAAAGATATCTGCATCACACAAATCCGAGTTTACTCATTTATGTCAGTTTGTCAGTCCGTGTCTGTTATATATCAATGCGTCATAAGTACTGAGTCAATCAGCTTAACGAAATATTCAGAGAATCATCATAGACGGGTAACACAAATTAAAGGTTTAGGCGAAATGGGTCGTACATTTAAGGATCATAAAATTCAGGAAAATAATTGTGTAGATATAAAAACAGTAAGTCATCGTTTAAAAAAGCATCGCAGAACGTGGTAATTTTGATACCTAAACGGGAGGCGCACAATAAGGGATAATTTTAAGGCAACTGAGGTCTGGTCCTCTTGTAACTGAAAAAAGGTGATTCCTACATACAATCCGCTATTTCTGTTTCTGGTCCTACTTGCTTTCTATATTTATCCGCGGTTATCAATTGTTATAATCATAAGTGCAGTGTAGATCTAGCACATTTGTTGAGATAAATGACTTTCTTCTGACTCGAAGAGTTAGCATTGTGTACCAGGTCTAATCGAAAAGTTTTCAGCACATCGTGGGAAAATCACCCAATTTCAAAGTTCTTTTATATTCTGTATCATTACGGCCGAGCTTTGCTATGCATCTATACGTTTTGCCTTGTCGGAGTACAGACCATCGAGGACATCATTTGACTAGAACACATATCGTCAATGGTAGAAAAGCTGGAATATGATGGAGGAAAACAGATGAAGCAAGTTGCGTTAGTATATCGGTAGATAATCGCAATAGCACCGGCGATTAATGAGACACTGGCTTGAGGCTGTGTTTTAACGAAGAGTTATATCGATATACTTAACCAAACTAATCAAAACGTTTTTTGTGTTCATCTTAGAAATCAAGCGTTGATTTCTAAAGAATCCAAGATAATGAGCGGTCTTCATACTTAAATTGCTTTTTAACTACTAAGTAAAAAAAGTAGCGCACTAATTCCTACACATGTTGCCGGCATCATTCTTATTGTATATATAATAACCATTTTATCTAGGTGTGCACTTTTGCTTAATGACAGAAAATGTATAGGAGAAGCCAGGGTACATAGCACTTAGGCTTGATTAAGAGCATTGCACGTTCTTCCTAGTTACTCAGAAACATCAGTTACCCCCAAACTATTGGAGAAGGCAGTGATACGGCCCAGCGGAGATTCACAAACATATATTGAATACCCGAACATCCTGCAAAGTGGTCAACCATGTATATTTCGGAAAAAGTTCCTGGTAAAAATTCCAGCATTATCATAAAAGCAATTTGACGATTATATCAAATAAAACAATCAAATAGCAATCACCATTTTTGATAACAGATTTGTGTCGAACTCGAGACTTTAGATCAGACTGCATTTTCATACATGAGGTCAAGTGGCCATAAGTGGTTTAATTGATATGACCTACTGTAATGTCTGAAAAGTACACGAACACCCCAAAAACTTGGCAACCACGCATTTTTAGGCAAAAAAGTTCGAAGAAAAGTTAAAGCATTTCAAAAAATCAGTTTGTCGATGACGTCAAATACGACCTTGATAATGACCTCAGAGGTTTTATAGTGATGACGTTTGTAAATACAACTAGCAATTTTTTACAACATTTTCATACATGGTTGCCAAGTTTTAGGTGTGTTCGTGTACTTTTCAGACGTTACAGTAGGTCATACTGATGGAACCACTTATGACCGCTTGACCTCATGTACGAAAATGATGGTTGCTATTTGAATTCACAAACTTGACCTCCAAATTACCTCTGAGGTCATTGTCTAGGTCATATTTCAGGTCATTGACAAATTGCTTTTATGATATCCTGAAACCTTTCTCAAAGACTTTTTTTACAAAAATGACAAGTGTTGGGGGTATTCGTGTATATAATATACCAAGTACTAACTGTACTGGGGGTCCCATTATATTTTCTCATCTATTTTTCTCCACCGAACACAAATCTGAAGTCAGAATTGTGGGACGTTGGACTAATATGAAAGTAATTTAAAAAATAAAATTTCAAAATTTGTAATTCTGATGTCTACATTACTTTCATATTTGTCTATCAAGCCATCATTTTTGCTTTTGATTCGTGTTCAGCGGGAAATATACATGGAAAAGATACGGTAAGCACTTTTTATTTTTTTGTGGACCTGCGATAAGATTTTTGACGTGTTTATGCGTTTTCTCTAAAATTTTACCATCAACCCAAATTCTGACTTCAGATCCGCATTAAGCGAGAACAAGTCATATCTATATGCTTTCAAATGATAACATCCTGGGTCCATTGGTTAATTTATATGTTTAGTTGGAATTTTATTGGATAAACTAGTTTTTGGTTATTTGCCTAAACCTAATATCCACAATTCTATTGGAATTCTAACGAATTAAAAGCTCCTGTAAAAGCATTCTGTATCCTTGCTTAATAATAAAATCTCAATCGATAATCGACAATCTTTACTTGGAGTTATCTTTTCGCGCCTATTTTCAAAATCAAGTTTTTGGAAATTACTATTTTTTAATAGACATTTCCAACTACAATATGTTAAGTAAACAAAAAAACAAAGCAAACGTTGTATAATTTTAAAAGATGCGTTTAGCTATTTTTCACATTTTTAAGCTAATGGCCAGATGGCGTCTGTATTTGGGCACATTCCTCTATTACTTGTGCTTATGGAATCTAGAGTACCGATATTTAAATACAAATTTATTATTTAAATATTTTTCAACTAATACTATTGCATAAAAGGTTCAAAGCTTAAGCCCTGGACGCATCGTTCAAATTCCAGAAGCCTCAGTAACAAACAGTAAAAGTGCAAAGCTTGCAAAAAGTAAAAATACCCTAGTCAGCGTTCTCACGCTCACTCTAGATGAAAGTGCTTCATACCATGCATGATAAGAATAAACGTCAACAGGATGCAGTTTGCAATTGTCTTTGTTTTTGATGACACGATAACCTACTGATAAACATTTACAAGGTACTTTTTTAAGGTTCTCCTTTGTGCATTGAAGCACTCTTTGTACAGGGTGTTTGTACTTTTGAGCATGTTTTCTGTATGGGTAGAACGGTAATCATTCAATATCACAGTATTTAGGCGCCATTGAAGAAGATCGTAGTAAACCAACGCTCCCCTAGAATGGATTCCCGTTTTGATCAGGAAGCTGGATAGTCGCCAAGCAAGAATTTAATTGCCTGATCTACCTGTGCACATTTACTTCATAAGGATATGTCACTTAGTCTAATATAGGGATGCTTCCTTACCTGCCAGTATCCTATCGCGATGCTAGTCAAACCGAAGCTGTTTGGTCATAGACTTTTTCTTGTTTTACTAGTTACTTTACAAATCTAGAGGTTGCTGATTATATTTCAAAATATTTGAAGAACGGTTGAGGATGAAAATATGGGTAGTGGGTTCTTAAAGCTAGCTCAACATTCGTTATTTCATCACGTCGAGCTTTATTTTTGTACGTCTTGGTTGCTTTGTCCGTCTGAGGACGTAGACAACAATATTTTAAATAAGATTTGTTTTGTTAATTCGAGTGGTTGTTTTCATCATTCCTTAAAACCCGGTAGGAAAGAACTATAAAAAGTAGCCAGATTGTGTAATGCCCAGTGGTTATTTAGGGCATATCTACAGAAAATAGTGTCGAGTGTATCATGTTGTTCAAACTGTGAAGAGACAGAAGAAACTTCAAAGTAGAAGAGTCTCCTGCTTCTTGACAAATTAAAGGTGAAGATAAAGAAGCACAGTCCAAATACTTTCCAAGTTGATTAAAAACTTGGAATGTGCTCTGCTAAATGTCTGTAAATATCTATTAACTCACCTGACTTATGTTTGATGATATCTTAATCAGTGGTTTTTCTTTCTTGGGTAAATATATCTCATGAGTCCTGCTGCTATCCCTCGATTCTTCCGTAGTTTCAACTGAATCATTTGTGGTGAATTCTTCTGTAGTACTGGCTTCAAATACAGTACTGCCGTCCGAAATAAGGGTTGACTTTTTCGCAAATACTCCTGGTGTAGATGTCGAGTTTATATCAATTGTAGTTGTAGCAGCAGTCGTAAGATTGTTCGGTTTGGTACTGTCGTATAAAGTGGTGCTTTCTGTTGAAGGCAGGGTAGTTTTGGTAAATGAAGATGTAGAAAATGTGGTGTAATGTGCCCCGTCGGATTTAGCGCGTCGAAGCCAAGTGTCGAGTATTTTTTGCGGGTACTCCCATATCTGAGGACGAACTTGCACCACACAAAGGAGCAAAAACGTAAGAAGCACGCGCATCGTGACCAAGTGGTACCGATAGGAATAATTTCAAGCCAGTTGGGTTTAGGTTTTGCTCTTTTACTATACTAGTTCACGGCGGTACGTACACCCGGAGCGGTAGAAGAGTTCTGCGCGGAAGACGCCGAGGAACTTGCAGTACCGAGGTAGTACCGAAGAGGATGGGGCCTATGCTGCCGATGACTATGCAATGCAAGCGGCTGCTGAAGAACTAACCCACTTCCGATCTAATGGTACCGTATACAGATGAACCATTGACAATGCCTAATGCTATGTTTTCAAAATTCGGTCTACTACTGATGCCAGTACCGGCAGATCAAAGGCTAATTGGACGATCGCTCATTAGTACTAGCGGTTCTCGATATTTTAGTAATGGTGTCAGGTAGATTGACTCGGTACTTCGCACGCTATCATATATTTATTCGATACACGAGTTTTCCTTGAGTGGGCGAAAGTACCCTAAAGCGGAACCCCGTTTTGTAATAAATGAAAAAAATGGCGTCAAGTAGGTTGACCCTCCACTACGCCTACGCAACGCTGTCATTAATTAATATGCGATCATATTCAGCACAAGTTGGTCCATCTTAGAAAACCTTTGTCTACGAACATATATAACAAGGGAATTAAATGCGAACTAGCCTACCGCCCGATTGACAGTACTGACCACCCATCAACGTCGCAACCCAGCACGGGGTTACATACACGAATAATCGGAATCGCTCAGTCGTCCCTCAACATTTAAGCAGAGAGACGGATGCTCGCTGAATTGTCTGTACGCGTATATCGAAGATATAATATCTTTATCGTTCAACTTTTAACGGCAAGTGTACGGCAAATTTATGATGTATGAAATATGTCTAATGGGTGCGCAGAATTATCGGGGTTGAAACGTATAAGTTGCTAGCCGCCTACAATCGCCAACATTCAATTTTTAACTCCTGCAAGAAATTTCTGAAAATGATCAGGATCCTCTGATACGTCCAAAAACGAAGTTGCCCTCGTGTTTTCGAAGTATCAACCACTGTCGCCACGCAGGCCTACTATACCCAAAATTTGCGCCCCAGACCACTCAAAACAAGGATTTGCGATATAGTCAGCCACTTCCGTGTTGATCCCCGCGCGCGTCACATCAACAAATATCGTTAATTCAATTTGTGTTGAATATACTAAGTGACATATAAATCCGAACACCCAGTTTTAATGGTTTTATTTTAATGAAATTTTGTACAAGTACTTAATGAAGCATAATAAGTAAATGATAAAAATTTCAAAATGATTGCACTGCTTTAAAGCCCTTTGACCTTTAATAATGTGTGGATGCACCTTGATGTGCTACGCATTCTCCAACGCGCCTAGGCATGCTTCTGATCAGGTGGTCAATGTCCTCCTGTGGTATCTCATTCCAGGCAACCACCAACTGCTCTCAAAGTGCTTCTAGAGTCTGAGGAGGACGTTGCAAACTGAGCAATCTCCTACCCATCATATCCCACACGTGCTCAATTGGGGATAAGTCGGGAGATCTTGGTGGCCATGGTAACAATGTGACATCATTATGTTGAAAGAAGTCTATTGTGACTCTTGCAACATGTGGTCGGGCATTATCTTGTTGGAAAGATGGATCTGCTAGGGTGTCAAGATCGGGTAAAAGATGGGGTTCTAGAACTTCGTGGATATAACGCTGCGCGTTCATGTTACCTCTGATGAAGATTAAAGGTGACCTGGAACCATAAGCTATAGCACCCCAAACCATAACTCCAACAGTGTGATCAACATGTCGTTCAACAAAAAACTGTGGATTCCTCCTTTCACCACGTCGCCTTCTAACCCTGGCACGACCATCGTGCATGCCTAAACAAAATCGAGACTCGTCACTAAAGTCAATACTGTTCCATTCCTGATCCCAGAGTGACCGTTGTCTGCACCACTCAAGGCGATTACGTCGGTGCTCTCGAGTTAAAGGGAGGACCCAGTGTGGCCGGTATGAAAACAAGCCAAAACTTCTCATTCGTCGGTAAACACTTCGCATGCCAATAGGTCTTCCGTGTTCTGCAAACCATTCATTTGCAATGGACCTGGTAATGGAGAAACGGTCCCTTAAGGCCAATAAGCTTAGGCGGCGATCTTCACGGTCTGTTGGTCTACGGCGGCGTCCAGTGCCCCTTGCTCTTTGCGTACAGCCTTCTCGAAGCCATGCCTGACAACACCTAACCACAGTGTCTACACTTCTTTGCACTCTAACTGCAATTGCCCGAAAAGAAAGTCCAGCTTCCCGAAGTCCCACTATACGGCCCCTATCAAACTCACTAAGTTGACGAAATCGTACAGGTCTCCGTACTCTATGCATCGTAACCGATCGTAAAGGATGTCAAGAACCAAAATCCGCCAACGTTGATTCTTTACTGCGGCTGAAATATTCATTTTTAGAGCGTTAGTGAATTAAAAAAAACAGTATAAAAACCGGAATGTCCAACTGATAGGGCTGAAAATTAAAATAAAACCATTTAAACTGGGTGTTCGGATTTATATGTCACTTAGTATATATCTGTTGTTACTGGACCGTCTACCTTCTTCCGCAATCATAACCAACCGAAACATTAAAATTTGAGGCCCTCGACTCGAGTTTGTTAGTGTTTTCTTTCTGTGCGCATCTGCCCAAATCTCCGCGTCCTGATATCCCAAAGTTACACAGCTCTTCAAATCAGCAACCAGTCCTGAACAGCGTGACTCGAACGACGCTAGGGCTTCAACGAATTCGTGTCTGGATCGCCAATTTTGGTGTGTCGGCTGGTTGTGATTGCAGAAGAACGTAGACCCTCCAGTAACAATGGATATATTAATAGTTCTGGCGCATTCCGCCTCTCGGCGGTACCGGGTACTACAATCTCCGTCAGCTAGTACCGTGTTGATCTCCGCGCGCGTCTCATCGCGCTAGCAAATATCGTCTAACTTCTTCCGCAATCACAACCAACCGACACAGTAAGCAAACATCGGGTAAATATTCAATTTACTTGACTACTATGCGAAAAACGCTGTATCTTTCTAACTACTTTCATGGTCAACACATATTTAGCGCTAGTTTTCCTGGCGTAAGCCTAAGAGCCAAGATACTACTCTCACGCCCTCTATTGAACGGGGGAGCGACTACGCGACGTCTAACCATACCTTGCAAGGTACCGTGATCTAGTTTGACTGACCTGTTACTAACCTATAAAGATATATGCGAAAGGTTGGGAAATCTTCAAACTGGAGAGACTAAATAGGTGAATTGACCTAAACATACCTTAGTCCAAAAGTTGATAGTTTTCGAGATACAGGATGTCAAAGTTACAATTTTATTTTCTATATTTATATTATTATATTATTTAAAATAATATTAACGAAGTAAAACCATTGTCGTGGTTAAACTTCCTTAAGAGCCATGTACAAACTTCTATTTTGAGCAAAACTACATAAAATCCTTTTTTTACTACTCAAAATAAGGCTATAATCATTTCTTACCAGTATTTAGGAACAGCGACTGCTTCAGTTTTAAGGAGAGAAAGAGAAAGTTGGTGGAAACGAGCCTTAACTGTATGTAAACGTGAAACGGCCTTAAGATAGGCCCTTTGTTCTTGGTTGCTGTCGGTCGGCGCTAATAAATTACCTTAGCACGGTAGAGCAATACTAACACTTTGAAAAGCCAAGAGGTCGTAACCTTCTGCTCTTCGCCCATTACGAGGGTTGATCCTTATGCTCCGACACTGACCTATTTGACGAACGTTGTTGATAGTAAAGCAAATGATTTTTTGTAGGCTGTGTTAACAAAATATCAAGTTTATATGTTAGATCTTTTTGTTCATCCGTGGCGGGTACTGCATTCATCAAAATACTGTGGCGACTGGCTTTCAAGAGTGGCAATGTATTTATTACTGGTTTATAGTTGTTTACATTTAGTCTGTCTTGTTTATTTACAAAGGAAAAGCGGGTAAAGCAGGACAACGAACAACCAGGCGGTACGTATTGTTTGACCCGTTGGAGCTTTCTAATTGATGAATTTCCTGATAATTTTATTAATTCACGCATTTGAACTGTTTATAAAACACCACCTAAATATTTTGAAAACTACACATTCTATACTACAACTATTTAAAACTGTAATGACTCATACGCGTGATCAACACGTGATCAGAGCTCGATCCCGGCTTCCTTCCAGTACAGCCGTATAGCGTACGACATATGTCGTTTCTGTGGCTTTGCGGTGGTCAACAGCACAGACAGAGATGGAAATAATGGCTGATTGTTCTCCGCCGGTAGAACCAATGAAATCAAAGACACGCCTAGACCGGCAGACTCATAGGCGTCGGCAACGCATTGGAACGTGTTTCGTTGAGCGATCGCATATTGTGTGTTTTTATAAGAACTGTTGTGTGATTGTTATTGTTGTGGTTTCTGTGGTTACTGTTTTGGTTATACTTAACCATGGAGAGTACAAATGGCACGAGTGGAAGTACTGAAAGCCAGGGAACAAGTAGATGGCTTAGTAAAGCACTGAAGAGGGACGCGAAAGAAATCGTGCTCAACGTGTTCAATTATCTGAACAGAACTATGTCGCAGGGAGATGCACTCGCGCGTTGTGAAAGTATGACAGGCGTTCCAGAGTGGACCATTCGCAGGGTGGTGCATGAAAAAAAGAAAACTGGAGCTACTACTGATCCAAAGTTTAATTTGAAGGGACGAAAGGCCGTTAAATTGGATGACGATAGCAAAATGGCGTTAAGGCGAACCGTACATTCATTCTTCTTTAGGAATGAGATACCAACCCTCAAGGCTGTACATGCAGCGATCAAGGAAAATGAAATTATACCCCAAATGAGCGTCGAGGTAATGAGGAAATCCCTGCACGAAATTAATTTTCGTTACGAAACGCGTAATCGGAAGTCAGTATTGATAGAGAGGCCTGAAATAGTCGCCTGGCGTCGAAAATACCTACGCGAAATGATTGAATATAGGCGACAAAGCAGAAAAATCTATTATTTGGACGAGACATGGGTAAATGCAGGTCACACAGTTAAAAAAACCTGGATAGACAAAAACGTAGTGAGTAACCGACAAGCAAGCATTGAAGGTTTGTCAACAGGTCTTCGTGGACCGTCAGGGAAAGGTCAAAGATTGATCGTAAC